GAAAGAGAGGGACGAATAAGAGGAGAAGACGATTCTTTTGAGCCTCGGCCAAGTTTTGTGGCCTGTTGGCCGCCTCGTGGAATCCAGTCGCAACCGATTTCTCGTCTCTGCGCCTTTTAACCGTACTACGTGTCGCGTTCGTGTGTGTGTGTGTGTACACCGCCTGCGAGTGAGTGCAACCGAGAGGAAGTGCGGTGTTGTGTGCGCGACCAATGTGTGCGAGATAGACGAAGATGACGCGATGATCGCGCCGCTGTGTATCTCCGAGAGCGAGAAGGAAAAGGAGAAGAAGAAGAAGAAGGAGAAGGAATGAGAGATCGGTGACGGAAAGAGAGAAAAGGAGTGCGAGAAAGAGAGGGAGAGTGGAGAGGATGCAAGGTGCAGGGAGACGAAGAGAGAGGGCGGAGGAGGGAACGAGAAACCGTACACGTTTATTACACGCTGTCCCTTGGATCGCGCTACAGCCGCTGGCAAGACGTTCCATTAACGTCGCTCGGTACCTACGCAATTATTATACTTCCTTGTACAGCGCGTTTAATCGCGAGCGCCACGGTTTTCTTAATCCTCCGTTGCCTGTCCTCTCCCCTCCTTTTCCACCTACCTCGAGTGGGTTGCATCGCGGCTCCATCGATACTATTCTTGTTACACGTGCGATAATATAGTAGTGGTGGTAGTGTGGTGGTGGTGGTGGTGGTGGTAGTGGTCGTCGTCGTCGTGTCGTAGTTCCGTGCTGCCGAGTTCTTCTTCTCTCTCGGAGAAGGGAAGAAACGAAGAAAAGTGGTGTCGTTAGAACGATCGGAACCGCGATCACGGTCAGGTGTGTTCTCCCTCCGTTCTTTCTTCGCTCGTTTGCACGATTGTGTTGATGTGTTGTTGTTACGACGTAGTGGTGCACAGTGTCGGTGTTACGGTGTTGTCGTCGTCGTCACGGCGACGCGTGTAAAACGAACCGTTGCCAGAAAACGCGCGCGCGTGCGTGTTCACGCGCGCTTTTCTCATCGACTGTTCCGCTGTTGGTACGTATTCACTANTGGGGATGTGGTATACGTGAGATATACGGTTGTTATATACGGTGAGCCGAGCGGATGCGCTTTGAGCGTGCACGATGTCTGTTGGCACGGGAGAGGCTGGATGACGATAATCGCGTTATACGTATTGTTTCGTTAATTGATCGATACGTTGTTTTCGCGCCGGCTGTCGCTTTGACGCTGGTAAACTCGCCCGATGCTCGATAATCGTCAAGTTTCTCGAGGTTATCCCGACTATCCAACTATAAAATATAATTCGATCGGACGGAGATACGGTTGAAAGATTCACCCGAGAATCCTCGCGTTCTTACCCAACGTATATCCGATTCGAATCTTTAACGAATCGTTACTTTCGTTTAGCGGTTGGAATTGCGACGCGCGACCAATTAGCGTAACCGCGTGGCGCGATGAGAGACAAAGCAGCGGCGTACATATTTTTGGATCGGTTACGATTTCGATCGCGGCGCGTTTCTCAGATATATACGCGGTAGTGCAAAGGCAGCGCAGGCTACCTTTACATTTTTAGCGTCGGTTGGCAAGGATCGAGCCGGGGGGAGAAGATTCATGCCGTCGAAAACAATTTTAATACGGCTTTCGATCGGCGACTGCAATTCGAATTTAAATTGGCGCAGTCGAGTGTGCGCGAC